TTTTTAACCCTTGGTACCTGGTCTCCTTTCAGGCCTACTTTTTTTTTATTTTTCTATGGCAGCAACACGTGTGGTGATGATGGATACCACCCCCCTCTCTAGCTGGTGATGATGATGGAANCTTCCGTCCTCCACCTGAGCGTCGAGTACTGCTGGTGCTGAAAAGCAGTGTCTGACAAGCACACCCGGCGCACGCAGAGGGGCTACGCAGAAAGTATTTTTTAACCCTTGGTACCTGGTCTCCTTTCAGGCCTACTTTTTTTTTATTTTTCTATGGCAGCAACACGTGTGGTGATGATGGATACCACCCCCCTCTCTAGCTGGTGATGATGATGGACCGCCCCCCGTTCTTCTGTAACAGACGCACGAGCCTACTGCAGGTACTTTTGTGCAACCACCACAAAAAAAATTCCACCTCCCGATCTAGTAGCACTTGCCTTGGATTTTTTGGTAAGTGCGGCCGTTGTAAGCCGCTGTGATAGAGGCGGTTTTTTGTGGTGGAAGGGTTTTTCCTTGAGGGGTTTTGCCCGGACGCCGGGTTTTCCCTCCATATGTTACCATGTTGGTATTTTCTGATGTATCCTAGGGCGTTCTTGCCCAATTGATGGTTAGTCACTTGCGTGAAGAACCAGGGAGGGTGTTCGTGAGTCTGCGAACATTGCTGTTGGATACATGTGCTGGATGATTTTGTGTCACGCAGACTGGTAAGATAACCGTTTGATACGGGGCACCATGATGATTCACGGGGCCCCTCCTTGCTGTGGGCAGCTGTGGGAGCCGCTCTTTGAGCACTCCCTCTTTCGTCCGTGTGAAGGACGGTCGTCTACCTCCCGTGAAGTTAATACATCACCAAAACAGTCTCACCCGACAAATAAGTGGCGTAGAATAGGTCGCAAACAATAGCTCCACACAACATACATGCCCTCGCCCGAACCTAGGAAGCCACTGATGCAAAGAGCGGAGGACAGCAAAAGGGTTATTTCAAGCCCAGCCGAAGCCAGGATATCGTGGTATGCTGCATCTCCCAATTTGATTCCTGGGTTCCCACGGTAAATTGAGACGAAAATTTTGGACTGATCGACACCAAAAAGAGTGACGGTTGGCAAATTGACGCCAAAAAAGGTAACGGGTGGTAAACTGACACGAAAAAATATTCCGCCGCACGTTGCCTGGCGAAGGCCAGCAGCGGCGCAGCCTCAAGTTAAAAAACATTCAACCCCAGCTGCACCGCTGCACCGCCGGGAAACCCAACGGTCGCGCTCCCTCATCACAGCACCCGACACGGAGCGAGGGGATGGCGCGCCTTGCGCGAGGTAGAATCCGCTACGAGTGGTATGATGAGTGCATGCAGGTTCTACTGCTTGCTGTGTTGTGCGCGCTAGCTGGAGAGGAGGACATGTTCCTCGTGATGGCCATGTTTGGCGTGGAGCAAAGCTGGAGACATGTCCTCTCGACTCCCGAGAACTGCACTCCGCGAACTACACTGACTGCCCAAATCCCAACCGCCGCCAGCGGCTTCGCGCCCCTAGTACGTGCGCCCAGAGCTACCGTCTCTTCCATCAACAACTGCTGTAACCTCTCCTTTCACGGGCGGGCACCCTAGCTGCTGTTGTTGTGGTTATCTCCTGTGTGCTTCGAGTCCAGTCCAGACAGACCAACCTCGGCGTGATTTGTTCTCGATCCCGCTATGAACGCACACGATCCTAACCGCGGCTTGACGTTCCCCTATCGCGATGTACTCCCGGGAGCGTTGTGTTCACGTATGTGGATGTGCGGGAAGCTGCGTGCGAGCTTGCCGACTGAGTTGATGCCTTCGTGTGTGTGCGATGGCGCTCGTGTCAATTTGTCGTTTTCTCGTGTCAAAATGCCTCAGGTGAAAATATTTTGACCATGTTTTCGAAAAATCTAGGCTTTTGCTCGATAGGCGATCTTTTTATTTTTTTTCCGGCGTTTCCCTTTTTTCTTTGCGGCGAAAAAAAATGGTGATGATAGACTAGGCTTTTTTTTTCGGCGACGTTCGGCGACTGCATATCGCTTCTCGGTGAGTCGCGTTCCATTTTCGGGGATTTTTTTCTGCTGGTATCTTAAGCGATTTATTTACTTCATCTAAGCGACTTTCGCGACGTATGCATGTACTTCTAGTAACACAAACGAGC